GTCATAAATAGCTACAAGGACGATCGAACTGATTATAATAATAGTGATAATTTCAAATTTTTGTATATATCTTAATACGTATCTTAAACTGAATAGTCAGATAAGATACTTATCTTTTTTTTTTGTTTTTTTTTTGTTTTTTTGCACAAAGCCATGATGAATTCGTGGCTCTCTTTAATGGGTAAGTCAGACCTGAAAGGGTCACAGACATTAACTTAATATTACATTTTGAGATAAATTGCAAGGCTGAACTAAATCTCTATATTTTATGTCATATTGTTTATATTTCAAGTCTTTTTTCATTATTATTCTGATCACTAACACGTGTTTAACCCACTTTTTTAGTGGTCTTGTTGTACCATTGGACTAAACCCACCCCCCCTCTTGGCGGATAAAAAATAAATATTAGTTGAAAACAAAAAGGCCGGGTAACTCCTTTTTTTTTTTTTCGTTACCACCAAAATATGATATTTTTGTCGCAAAGTTTCAAGTCAGACCTTTTAAAGAATTTGTGGACACCCACTTTATTTTTATTTTTTTTTTTTTTTATTTATTCAAAAACCTCTCCCTTGTTTCTTCTTTCCTTCTTCCATTCACCTTTTTTTTTTTTCTTTCCTCAAAATCTTTTATATTTATTTTTGTTTCAGCCCACACAAAGCCATCTACCCATCAACAACTCTTTTTTTTTTAAACCATCTTATCTATTTATCTATAAATTTTTTACAATGTCTGCCAACCTTGATAAATCTCTCGACGAAATTATTTCTTCTAAGCCCCGTACGCCACGCGGCCGCAGCAGAAGAACTGCTTCTGCCCGCAAGGGTGTTTCCAAGTCTGCTGCTCCCTCTGCGGCTAAAAAGGCCGTCGCTAAGAAGGCTGCCCCTGCCACCCCTAAACTTAACATTCTTGACGAAGCCTCTAAGCTGGCTGACAGAATCATCATTTCCAACTTGGTATGCACTCGATCTTGAATTCTAAACTCATACGGCATTTTTTCATGACGAACGTCTCGAACACCCTCTACGCGACAACTTTTTCGTATTCTTTTCGAAATTGTTGCTCTATTTTCGCATTGGATTCGCACCGGTTGTCGACAGTTTTTTTTTATGCCATTGGTCTTTTTTTGTAATTATGTCAACAAACTAACTAGATGCCTTTAACAGCCTACCGATGTCTCTGAGACCGCTGTTAGGGTATGTTAATAAAAACGCTTTTTCAACGCGAAAAAGGTAAGCGCTGGATTGGGTCGATGACGTTAGTCTCCCCATGAATATGTTCTTGATGGTGGACAATATTCAAAGCGATTACAGAGAAAGAAAACTCTTAAAAAATATCAAGCAGTTGGAGTGTTTGCCTAGCAAACTATCCAGTGACTATGGTCTTAAGCCGCGTTTGGGTACGTGCCGACCTTGTCCATGTTTTCGACGCGTTTTATTTTATTTGACGTGTCGCATTCATGTCGACATATCACGATTTACCTTTTAGGTGCGTCCTGCTTTTATGAACTTAGGCTGATGTTGGTGTCTGTGTGTACAGCCACTTTCTCGCTGTAAGTGTCGTCGGTTAGGATACGGCATAATGTTCGGGGGGAGATTAAATTGCCATCGCTCATATCCAGTGTCTTTCAACTTTTTCATTCGACTCTACGAAACGCGTTACCAACATTTTTTTTTCTTTTTTTTTTTAGAATTACTTCCAACACGAGGTTGGTCCTATCAGCCAGTGTCAGATTTCTTACAACAGCAAGGGTCAGTCTACAGGTGTTGTCACTATCACTTTCAAGACTCCTGGCCATGCCCACAAGGCCACAGTTAGATTTAACGGTACTTCCATTGATAACGGTGCTAAGTTCATGAAGGTATGTGTTTTACATGAATTGTTATTCAGATAAATGACTAATGTTTTTAGGTCGAACTTGTCATGGATCCTTCGAAGAAGCCCCTTTCTTCTCGTCTCAACCCGTAAGTTAAAATATCTTTCTTTTTTTTTTTACCGTCTTTGCTAACAATAGCTTAGTGCTCCTTCTCAGCCCAAGGCTACTAAGACTGCTAAGGCTACTAGTACTCCCAGATCTAGAGGTCCTAAGTCTGACAACAATAAGCCTAAGGCTGCCAAGTCTCGTCCTGTCCGTCGTCCCAAGAAGACTCTTGAAGAGCTTGACGCCGAGATGGCCGATTACTTTGACAACAAGTCCTAAAAAATTTAGGAAAGTAATCTTGTTTTTTTTCTCTTTTGTTAATGTATTTATATTAATTCTGAATCAAATTGTTTAGTATTTATTTTTTGTTTGTAGATTTTTTATAACTAGTCATTTTTTGAATGTTTATATCTTCTAACTCTCGTCGAAACAAGTTTATTTAGTCAATTGAGTTCTGACTGCCTGAAAAATCTATTTCATGTGAAGTTAGTACCTTGATTACAATAACGCTTATTTTCCTGAGAATTACTGCTATCACAGCTATCACAGGTAATACCACTTTCTAGGACAATTCTCCTGCCAAAATTGAAAAAAAAAAAAAAAATTACTTACCGCAAATACTTGCGCATTGTCTACATCCCAAACGCCCTCGGCTACATACACATCCTGTTTCAAAAACGCAATAGCATCATCACGGCTATCAGCCTTGACAACGAGGGCCGAACCCTTGAAATCAGGAATCGCGCCATCGACAGGGGGAGGGAAATCAGAGGCCAGGCCGCCAGCAAGTTCGAGACGATCAGAGGCCAGGACGTTGGCCAGGTGAGTGGGACGAACCTTCATACGGGCCTCAATCTGCGTGTGTGTGTGGGTAAGAATGTGTTTTTTTTTGTTTTTTTTTTTTTGAAATGATTATTTAAATATATATATAGATATATACTCCTTTTTTTTTCAATATTTAGTACATACAGTGTTGGGGAAATCAGGAACAATGCAAAGGTAGGATTTTGACATGATTGATAGTTGTTGTTGTTGTTGTTTTTTTTCAGGATACTTTTTTGAGAAAGAAAAAGAAGAGATACAAGAACAAAAGAGGAGAAGGTGTTTTTGTTTTTTCTGAAAAGACTCACAACTAAAAAAAAAAAAAAAAAAAAAAAAAAACCTTGAAAATAATTGATTTAAAAAAAAAAAAAATACTATGTGATCACGTGATTATAGATAATACACCATATATATAAATAAATAAAAAAAAAGGGGGCCCATGGAAGGAGAAGGAGAAGGATGAGGTGCCCCGCCAATGATAAAACTGAGTTGAATCGCCAAAGCCTTACTGGTTGTCGTAGTAAGAAAAAAAAAATGGTAATTACAATCAAAATCACAAAAATAATAATAAATGTCAGTCCCCTAGCAAACTATTATAGGTCTGAAATAACTCAATGTAGGCGAGAATTAGTTGAGAATTGACTGATTCTTGATGTTGTTGTTGTTGTTATTTTTAAGCATCACGTTTTGAATTCATTCATGTCTTTGAAATAATGAAAAAAAAAAAAAAAAAAAAAAAAATCTTGGAAATTTGTCAACTGATATCAGTTTTAAACCAGGGAACAATAATATGTTATTGTATTTGTAAAACACGCGAACTTAGAATCAGAAAAACAAACATAGAAAGAAACCTAACTCCAGAATTGAAACAGATTTTTTTATTTATTATAAACTTGAATTAAATGTTATATATATATATATCTAAAATGTACCTAGTATCGACTGTCGGGCAAAGCTTTGGCCTTGAAGATTTGTTCGGCATGTCCAGGATTCAACTTAATTAAATCCTTTCCAAAGTCTGGATACTGAAACGGAAGGTTCTCGGGAACTAACTCAGGAAAATTGGTTTCAATCACTTTTTCAAGTTCACGGAACCAAACCTCATAGCCTTGGCCTGTAAAATGGAGACCGTCATTCAGCAGGTGCTTGATACCACTATCAGACTTTGCATTGCTGAGATCTTTAGCAAGCTGACCAGGAATAATGTTTCCATCCTTCCAGCCAACACTATACAAAAACGCATGCCAGAGATCAATGAAAGGAATGTTTTTAGAGGCTGCGAGATCCTTAGCCGCATTGCTGTATTCTAGATTGCGCAGAGTTGAGCGTGGGTTCAAACTAGGGTCAGAGCCCTTGTAGATCTGGTTCCGGTGCACCTCATCGTGGGGAGCTGGGCCCACAATGATTGCCTCTGCACCCACGGCTTGGAATCTCTCAACAATATACTTGATATTTTCACTGTACCGTTCAAGCGGCACACGTTGGTTGGGGTCCTTTGACGCATCGTTGGAACCAAAGAAAATTATAACAAGCTTGATTCCGCTGCCAATACCAGCAATCACGTCGTCGACAATGTAACGTGCATGTTCACTGCAATAACCACTGTAGCCACGTTGAACAACATCGAGGCGGCGACGGAAAAGATCGGTCAACGCGGATCCAAACACAAACGATTGACGTTGATTGTCGACAAGAGGACCAGTCAGATCGTAGCGTCCCTCGTCGAGACTAAAGCATCGCTGAGTTATAGAGTCGCCAAATAAAACAAGTTTGCCGACGGTGCCGTCAAACGTGATGGATTTGATAGAGTTGGGGAGTGTGGTCGTAGACATTTTTTTTTTATTTTTTTTTTTCAATTAATTTTTAGTAATTTCTATATGTCTTTGTGCTGGAACACAAAACAGCTTTTTTGTTGTTGTTTTTTTGTTGTTGTTGTTTGATAGGAAAGACAGAGTTCAAAAGAATATCCGTTCATGTCTCGGCTCCACTTTGCAGCTATTGGAATTGATGATAAATGCTTTTATTTTTTTTTTTGTTTTTCTTTTAAACTCGAAACAAAAAATGGTTCTTGGTCATGTTTATAAATCTAGAGTGCAGCAATTTTTTTTTTTTGCAATCTCCTTTGCTGACAAGAAATAAGATCAAGCACCAACACTATACAGAATTATCATGATAATAATCACAGAATATGAGATATTAAATTTTGACAAAAGCATTTTTTTTTAACATGGCTTGGTTTAGCGGTTCAAAAATTGGTAAATGCTCCGTAAGGGAATCGAACCCATGATCTTCCTATGTCAGGCATGTGAATCGTAACTATTCGCATAAGTAGGATGCTTTACCGACTAAGCTAACGGAGCACTTTTGCATTATTTTAGGCGTAATCAATAAATGTTGCAAACTAAATCTTTTTTATTAAAAAAAAAAACTCCTGCCTGAATGCAATTAAAGTAGGTTAATAATCATTGTAATGTAGTCAATTAACTAGGCTAAATGTATTGTTATAAAAACAGGAAAATGATGTTCTTGGGACGACGTTAAACGCATCTTTCTTTTTAAAAAAAAGATCACGGCATTTAGGCCGATAAGCCTTACACGGTACATATAGATAGATAGAAAATCTGTTTATTGTCTTTACATCACATCGTTACATAATTAAAATAATAACAACAGAAATATACAAAGAAGACATGGAATTCAAAAAAAAACAGATTTTCTATCTATGGAATTTAAAAACATTTATCTCTATGAGACTTTAAAAATAGCGTTCTCAGCGCGTTTTAGGTGTTTCAGGCATTCAATGGCGCCGAATTCTCCATGAAATAACACATGTGCTAAGGGAAACCTGGGATACACAACGCCTGCTGGAATCATAACAGAGATTGAAACACAGTAAAACCTTAACAAGCAGCTCTAATCAAGCAAAAACCATCAGCAAAGAAGTTGCGGTAATGAGTTCAAGAACCTGAATACCGCTTCAAGACCCTTCCTGGTATAAATTAGGACTCTTAGATCAAGTTCCGGGGACAACTTTACTTAAGAAACTACGCTCCTCAGGATACGGCGTTACATGGTACATTTAAAAATGTTGCTGTCGTTTTTTTGTTTTGTTTTGTTTTTGTTTTTTCCTTGATCAGTCCAACTTTTTAAATAAGTAAATGTCGGATGATTTTGCAATTGATCAAGGTCAAAAAAAAAATTGTTATTTCAACAAAAATTGACAGGATCACGGTATATAATAAGAAAAAAAAACATATTATTATATGGTATATGATACCTGGATTACTTAATAAGGCAAAAAAAAAAAAAAAGTTGAATATATGGACAATTTTTTAATGATAAATTCGGCGCTATCGAATTTTATAATCACCTAAAACGTGCTGACAGTTCAAGCAATTTAATGATCATAGTAATGTTTTTTTAATTGACTGGACTGAAATATTTTATTATCAAAACAGACAATTGATATCTTGAGAGGACATTAAAAGCACACATGATTTTTAAAAGAAAAAAAAAATCATGGCATTTAGATTAATAAGTCTTATACTGGTTGTCAATCTCTGGTATCAATCCACCAGGTTTCCCTTAGCAACATGTAATATTTTATGGAGAATTCGGAGCCATCGAATGCCATAATCACCTAAAGCGTGCTGGCAACGCGCTAATTTTTTTTTTTTTTTAAAAAAAAAAAAAAAAAAAAGGTTTATAGAAACAAATCAGGCAATGAATAATTCAATCTCATCGGATTATATGGTTACTAATTTAAAGCTGAAACTGAAAATGCCATTCGACAAGTCTTATATATACATGTTTTTTTTGTTCTTTTTGGTTGTACTTTTTATTTTTGTAGGGCTATGTTTATTTTCATTGGCACATATCTTACTGAACAAGCCGAATACAGTTTTGAAGTTGAATTTGATTTTGGCATAAAGATTTTCAAAAAAAAAAATTGACCTTTACAGTTTTATATTATCATTTAATATGTCAAGTTTTCAAAATAAAAAAATTATATCAATGTGACATAAAGACGATAGGCAGATTTTCTATTTTGTCTAAATGTATGATCAAGATTTGGAATACAATGTTGTTGCGAAAGCTTGGATACATTTGTAATGCTTACACACATAGAAAAAAATAAAAATAAAAGGTACCAAATCACAGAGCTGTAAGCTTGATCCAGTTAGGTCAAGTCTTTTAGAATATGCCATAAAAGCTCAAAACATCATTTGAATAAACCGATTCAATACCTTTTTGTGAGTCTTTGATGATTTGTCATGAAATTATTTAATGTAATAACAAAAAAACATTTTTCATATTCTTGTTTATAGTTCTAGACTTTATACTAATTTACCAGTGTACGCCATCAAGGTTTTTGTAATACGTTACCAGCGAGTCTTATTCAGATTATAAAAAAAATAAATTACACAGAACATTTCATTGCAACCAACATATTTTAAATCAACTTTTATTTCTATTAAAAGAAAATACTTTTACTTGCAATCTACTTTAAACTTTTTGTTACTAACGGTAGCATTTTTTGTTTTATTTTTCAAAAGTTATTGAAGGTGGGTATTTGAGTGGTAATATGGCTGGGCCATAAAAATAAAGTAAGACATTTTTGGGATACTAAAAACATGGTTATTATCAGGCCGTTTTCCAAATATAAACGTATTTGATGAAAATACTAAAAATTTGGAAACAAATTAATCAATAGCTTATTTTATAGTCATGAATATTTACGGGTTCAAAACTTGGCTCACGTTAGAATTATCCGAAACTTTCCCGTCAAGTTTTATAGCTATCATTTCACTGGTACGTTATTCAAAAAAATGAAAACCTTTAGATCGTTGCTGATTGCTGTTGTCGATCTTATAGTAATTTATTAAGTGTTGAAAATAACTGGTTTTATTTATTTTATTTTGAAAACAAACAAAAAAAAAAAAAGGATCCACTACTTCGGCTCATAAGCCGGAAGATATACTAATAACTTTTTTTTTTTTGTTAGAAAGTATCTGGTGTTTGACTTTTACAGTATTGATTTAAGATGATCATGGTGAGAAAAAAAAAAAAAGTTACGGTCGTAAAATTGTGGCTCCACATGGTCCAGAATGACGGAAAAGGAATTAAAAGTACAAGCTTTGAAAAAGATTTACAGAGTAGTAATCGGAACCGGAAAATGAAATCAAAAACAGGCTTTTGGCAAAAAAAAAAAAATTCATTCTTTTTCGTTTGTAATAGAGTATGTATTATTTTATTTATTATTATTGATGTTGCATCTCACAGCTGAGTGTTTGATATCATAAGGTCGAATGGTAGATGCTCAAGCTGTTACCTATTATCATGTATTATCTAGCTATCCCAAGAATGTGAAATAAGTTCTACTTGAGAAATCACGATATGGTTAAACTTGCTTAAAAAAAAAAAAGTAACAACTAGTAATACTTAAAAAAAACTGTTGAAATATTAAAGTAAAAAATTAAAATGATTTCAAGAAATTTTGTTGTTTCATTGCGGTTTTTTTATTTTATTTTTTACAAAACCATCTGATTTTACTTTGCATGAGCCCTGACCATTGAAAGAGTTTTACAACCAGTGACAGTTTTATATATTAGCTGTCAAAAAAAAAAAAAAAAAAAAAAAACTTGCTCGAGAAAAACTGGCCACTCATCATTTCAAAGAATGTTTGAGCTTTTTGTAAACCTGAAATACGTTTAGCTGGAGAAAAAAAAAAAAGATGAATGTGTTCAATAGGTTATCATGCTCACTGGCATTTCATTTACTCCCATCGTGATGAAAGAGTATAATGACATATAGATATAGCATACTCATCACCGTAATTGGCATGATCTTTAGCAGAAAAAATAAATGCTTGTATTTTGTTCATTTCTCGTGTTCTTTTTTTTTTTTGTTAATTATTATTATTATTTTTATTTACGTTTAATATCCTTTTTTGTTTTTTTGTTTGCAAATTCTGTTTTCATTTTACCTTTTGTGGTCAAGCCAAGTACCTTCCATTTAGGACTCGGCTGACAAGAGCAAAAAAAAAAAAAAAGGACTTTTTTACTGGTATAGTGGACACACAGTACGGAAACGGATCAAGTCAGCCGTGTGAAAAAAAAAAATGTTTATTTGTCATATGCACGGTTAGAGAGAGAGTAGCTGGACACCAAGTGGATTGGTTTGTTTTCCAGAACCAACTGTGTTACCTTTCTTCATTTTATACTAAAAGTCAGTTTCTAATGGTATACATATCTTACATTCAAACCAAAAACATCCAGACAACGTTGGTGGGTTTTTTTTTTTTTGGTTCTGTTTCCAATGGTATTTTGCGATTCGAGAACGGCTCGGCCATTGACGGAAAATAATAATAATAATAAAAGTTTATAGTTTTTTTTTTTTTGTTTTCGTTTTTGGTAACCGTTGTTTTATGTCATTTCAACTTGAGTGATTTCTGTAAAATCTCATGACTTTGAGATTTGAAAATATTCGACAGCTCAGGTAACCTTCTTGATCTCGACAATAGAAAGTAATTGAGAAGGAAATCAAACATGCTATTGCAAGTTTATATTGTTGAGAATTCCATGAAATATAAATACATACCTTCCTGCCTGCTTCAGAAATGTTTTTTTTTTTATTATTACATCAATAACAACGTTTTCTAATCAATTACAATTAATTATTTCATCTTCATCTCAACTTTTAAAGTGTTTACCTGTTAAACAAAACTTATAAAAATTAAAATCATGCCTTCATTATTTGCTCGCGGCAACGATGCCGTTATCATTAACAACTCTGACGGTGCCAACTTCCATCTCACCGATCACGGTTCTGACTGGTTATGGGCCGCCTTCTCTGTCTTTGCCCTGTCGGCATTGCTCTCTACGGGTTTGTCCTATACTAAACCCAGAGCGGAACGTCTTTTCTATAATATTACCTCCGTGGCTCTCTTGATCATGTCGGTTTCTTACTTTACCACTGCCTCTAACCTTGGTTGGGCTCCTGTCCAGGCTGAGTTTAATCATGTCACTGTGGCTGATCAAACTACTGAACCTGGTTTCAGACAGGTATTTTACGCAAGATTAATTGCTTGGTTCTTGGCTTTCCCTTTGACCGCCATTAATTATGCTACTCTGTTCTCACTTGACTGGTCCAACCTTTTCTTTACTATTGCTACTCAGTGGATGATGGTCATTGGTCTGCTTGTTGGCTCTATTGTTAGATCAACTTACAAGTGGGGTTACTTCACATTTGCTGTTGTCGGTTTCCTATTGCAGGCCGTTCAACTTTTGTGGTTCTTCAGACGCAGTGCCATTGAAACTGGATTTGCCACGGCTGGTAACAGTATCACATTATTATCGAC